GGGCCGACGGCCAGGCCGGGGCGGGGCCGGAGCACCTGAGCGCGTCCCGAGGGCGCCACCCCTTGGCTCACCTGTCCCAGGCGCCGCGGAAGGGGCCGCCCGTGTTTGCCCAAGGAAGCGAAAACCTAGAAATTCCTGGCACTTTAGCCGCCTCCGAGAAAACTGGCAGACGGGTTGTGCCTGTGCGGTGAGTCCTCCGGCAATTGCGCGTCTGGAAACTTGGGTGGCGTCAGAGTTGTCGTAGGGATTCCTGGTCCGGAGTGGCTTGCCCTGTAGCTTTTGAATCTCTTGCTGACAGGTCGCTGGCGCCCTCTAAATTAAAACGAGCCGCCGCGAAAGCCAGGGATATTGTTACTAATAGCGTCATTTTTACTGATTCAACATTTACGCCACTTGCTGCTTGGAGTGTTAAACGATTGTTCTTATCTGGAACACTAACTACAAAAAAACTTTCAAGAAATTAACTACGCAAATATTCTTGGGTAAGGAAGAGTTGAAGGCAGGGTTATGAGAAAGATAAATGAGAAAGGATAAAAACTAACATTGTTTATGTGGGTGCTTTGAAATTTGAGGTTTGAAGATTCAGGAAGCTGCAGGTGGAACTAGACTAAGATTGCTGAGCCTGGGCGGTAGTTATAGCATTTGTGTGCAATATCATTGTTATTCTTTTTTTTTTTTTAATTGTAATGTTCCATGAGAAAAAAAAATTTGAAATAAAATACCTAAGTTTCTTTAGTATTTATGGTGACCTGGACCATCTTCATTCATGTGAGTCCAGAGGTTGAAACTCAAATTTCAACATATATATCTCTTTTCCCAGCATTTACATAGATTAATGGATGCATTCATTTTTTTTAATCTAACAATAATTAGCATCCCCTGTGTAAGACACTCTGCTAAGTTCTTAAAATGGATAAAAAGAAGCAGTCCTGGTGTTTAGGCCTCCTGGTCAAATGAGGACACTACACCCGGGTAATGCCATCGAATTGAGTCCACAGAAACCTGGAGGAAAACCTATAACCTAAAGAAATGACACTACATCAATAGTATCAGTAGGTGTCCCAGTAACTTCATTATTAAAGATGAAATTTAAAATCTCCCTTCCCCAAGTTCAGCATTTGACAACAAAGTTATGGAGCTGGTGGCAGCTGCTTGTAGCACAAAGAAAGCAGCTTGCTTACTGAGAGAAAGGTGGTGATATTTCCTCTTTGGGGAGCCCTACATGTCTGAAACCAGGATATTCTTGAAGGCGTGAAGGGGCCATCATCTAAAAGTGGGACCAGAAGGTTCTAGGCACATCTGAAGAATGGCTGTGCTATGTAATTTCCTTAATACAACAGCATCAACAGTAATAAAGCAAGAAAGATGATTTAGGAGATTAAGGAGCTGTACATTGATAATTAGAAAACATTGATGAAAGAAATTAGACAAATGGAAAGAAAAACTATGCTCATAGGTTGGAAAAATTAATGCTGTCAAAATGCCAAATGATCCAAGTCAACTAGATATTCAATGCAGTATTTGTCAAAGTTTCAGTGACTTTTTAACAGAAATAGAAAATAAATCCTAGAATTCAATATGGAACCATAGAGAACCTGAGTGACCAAAGCAGTTGAGAAAAAAAACAAAGTTGAAGGCATCACACTTTTTTATTTCAAATTCTATTATAAAGTGATAGTAATCAAAATAGTATAGTGTTGGTATATAGATATACTATATATAACTATAAAAAATATTATTTTATGTGATTAAAAACATTATATATTACATTTATCATGCTATGTGATTTCTAAATGCATAATTACTTTAAAATACAAATAAAGACAAGTCATTCTGCCATGGCTGATAGAGTGGTATATGAGCATTAAGAAAATAATATATCAAGGATATTGGGAGAGAGGTTTCTAACTGTTGGGAAAATTTCTCATTGTATGTATATGTAGATATTAAAAAAGGAAAGACTAGAAAACCCCACTGATGTAACTTAAAATTGGAGACAATAATGTGAAATGGTTTTAAATTTAGATAAATAGACAGACAGAACAATACATGTACTTGTGTATGTCTATGTATACGCTGATCTGTTTCCTATTCTGTTCCCTGAAAGAGCCTAAAAGCAATAGCACCTCATTAGCAATCAAAACCCTTAACACTCAGACCTCCTTTCTAAATACCATTCTCACTAAAAGGAGCTGTGGCTCAGTGGGGTAGTGGGTGAATCTGGAATAATTTGTAGTATAAGAAAACTGAAGAATTATAGAGATATGTCAAAAAGCTATGGGAACCAGAATGAACAAATTCCTACTGACCAACTCTAGGACAATTTAAGCATCAAAATAAATAATGACAGCAACAGGTAACAATCCTTTGCATGAACTAGGAATGAATGACTCCATGCTGTGAGAAAGTAGGTCCACAGGGATTACAACCAAGATGAAAAAATGTACAAAATGAAGAATGATATAAATATATATATATATATATATATATATATATACACACACATATGTAATACATTTAAAAGGAAAAGAACACGACTAAGAGAGAAGAAGGAATGGCACAGTTAGAATTGTGTAACAATCAATAAAGCCTGAGTCCTCACTGGAGTAAAATTTTAATGAGGGACAAGATATTTACATAATGCCAAAATATGTCTCCTAAAATGCTAATACTTCATAATACACGTACTAACATTATAGCTGTAATACTTAGAAGATACCATCTTCATTAACTGGTAAGAGTTCATGTAAATAAAAACCAGTGATGAGCTGGTGGGAACATAAGCTGGTCCAACCACTATGGAAAGCTGTTTGGAGGACTCTCAAATTATTAAAAATGGATCTATCATATAACCCAGGAATTCCACTACTAGTAATCTACCCAAAGGTCAAAAATCAATTTAAAAGAAAACCTGCACTCCTATGTTTATTGTGACATTGTTTACAATAGCTAAGCTATGGAAACAACCTAAATGCCCAAAAACAGATCAAAAAGATGTGGTATATATACACAACGGAATACTACTCAGCAATCAAAAAAGATAAATGTATGCCATCCACAGCAACATAGATAGAGCTAGGTGGACTATGCTCAGTGAAATAAGTCAGAAGAAAAAAGAAAAATGTTGGATGGTTTCACTTACTGGGGAAACATATAAAGGAACCAAGTAAGGGATCAGGAAGAAAAAAAGAGAAAACCACCAGGCAAACTATAAATTGGAGACTTTCAACAGGAGCAGGGGACAGAGGAAAGAGCACAAGAGTCTATGGTGATGGTTCATGGGTATCTTGGTGGTGGTAACTTTATAGAAACAGCACCTGAAAGGAGAAATCAGATATTGTATAAAAATGAACAACAATGTAAAAATATATAAATAAAAAAATTTAAAACACAATAACGAGACAAATCAACATTCTGATGCCTCCTAAAATACACTGAAATGGATCCAGATGTAATTCTTATGTCTAAATACATGTCAAGAGAAAACATCAGACAAATAGAAATTGAGGGAAATTCAAGCAACTGGCCTGTATGCTACCAAAATGTCAAAGCTATGGATGTAAAGCGACTAGAGGACTGAAAGAGATTGAAAGAGACTAGAGACAATTAGAATAAACACAACAGGTGGTCCTGAATAGGATTTAAGATCTATAAATGATATTACTGGCTGGCATAATAAATGTGAATTTTCAATCCTGAAAGAAAATTAATTTCCAGGTTAGAAATTTTAGAAAACAGTCTTTCTCAAAAGGTAGCTCAAAGGCCATAGCATTGGCAGCACCTGATATATTTTTTAAAACTTGGCAATAAAGATTCTTTAGCCCCATCTCGGATCTGTGAGATGGCACTTCTAGTGATGGTACTCCGGAAACTACTTTTGAATGAAGAATTGTGACTCAAGGCTGGTGGTATAAGTAGGCCCTCGGAGTACCCAGGACTTCTGGTATCACCAGTTGCATAATCTCCTTTCAGGGAGTGGTCTAAGACAGGCAAGCAATTACAATGCGAAGTGAATTTTTTTTCTTTTTAGGCACTGAATGTTGATTTGTAGTTTTGAAAATTGTGAATCTGGGGGCAGATGTGTTTATATCATAGTGCTGGAATTGTAACATTTTAAAAAACAGAAGTAATGTTATGTCAGAGTACAATGCATATCGCCAAATTCCAGGGATTAATGATTAGGATCCAGGGAGAAAAAGAGATAGAGATAGAGACAGAGACAGAGACAGATCATATATTATTATGTGTGGGGGGTGATATATATGTACATTCAATGTACAAGGGAGTAAATTTCCATCGACGAGTACAACTCTTTTAAAACCTACATCAGTTTCTAAATAACCATGGAAATCTGTTCATACCAACTGTTTGGACCAAGCTTCTTCATCAGGTTACCTGCAGCACACCACTTCAGGCACTGCCCTCCAGGATTTTGCGGTCAGAATTGTCACAGAAAAGACAGCTTCCTGTGGGATGTGAGTTGGAGTGTTAAACAGTCCTAATCAAAACTGTCTGCTCTTCCCCCCCACCTCCTGCTTGGTGCTGGGATTCCAGGTTTGTCATAATCAATTACAGGCATACGTTCTTAGGTCCGTGGTGTGTAGTCAGAAATATGTGTCAGTGAGAAGTTTCCTTAAATGAGGCAAAATCTGTCAATGACACTCAAAAGTACTGGTTATCGAAGACCCCAAGCAGTCCAAAAGAACAGCATAAATTGATCGTGGAACGCTGTAAAACATGGCAGTTTTCTTCTGAAGGAGCACCAC